TATAAATATCAAAATATGAAAATATAAAAGTAAGAAAATAATTTAAAAAAATATACGTAAAAACATATTGAAAGATATTTATTAGATTTGGAAAAAATTAACGGAGACCGACTGGATTTGAACTCGGGATTCCTCGTCTACCAATCCGACACTTAGTCTGCACCACAACGGCTCCTCTCTGTTAGCTGTTTATATTCCGAATCTCTTTTATGACCGCTTACGGTCATCTAATTCTTACAATATAAATATTGATTAATAAAAAAAAAACTATATTATATTATTAACTTTGGTAAAAAAATTGCATAAAATATGAAAAAAATATTTAATATGAGAAAATAATATAAAATAAATGTAATAAATGTAATAAATAAAATAAATGTATATATTTAAATAATATTATTATTTTAAAACAAAAAGATAAATGTAAATATATATTTCTTAAATTTATTAAGATTTCAAAAATACAATTATATTTATAAAATTTAAAAATAATATAAAATTTAATGAATAAATAGAAATGTAAGTATACAATAGTAAAATAATATTTTTGTATAGAGAAAGGACAATTTATTTTAAAAGCATTATAAATATACTTATACTCTCTGCTTATACATATATGCAATTACAATTATTAAATATAAATTATTTATATTTAATAATTATTAAATATAATGTCCATTTACTTTTAGAATAAAAACAAATAATAATTTTCAAAGGAAATAATGGTTTTTTAAATGTTCAATATTCTAAATTTATAATAAAAAATCTGTATAAATCTTTATACAGATTAACTATTCTTCAAAGAAAAAATAACTTCGTTCTTAGTTCACTTTATTTTCTCTTACTAAATCACTTTAATCACTATTCACTAAACACTGAACTGTTCATTAATCAATATTAAATATTCAATTTCTATATCAGACATTTGTTCCCGCCAGTTTGTTAAGCTTTTAAATGACAGAGAACGCTATAGAAAAACCCGAGAAGAAATGTGACAGAAAATTAGTTACGTAATTGGTTAGTTCAGTTCAATTTCGTACACGCTAAAATTGGGAGAGTTGTACTATTGTATATACTGTGCCATGGCTCTTGAGTCTTGATTATTTTTTAGCCCATGTCGGTTCCTACGTCAAGCAGCATTCAGCATCAAAAGTAATAATATAGAAGAAAAAGAACTCTTGGGATTATATTGCATTACGTTAAACGGAGAAAAATATCGAGTAAGTGATAACTTCAAGATATATAATAAGGTAATTATTTAGAATAGCTTGTCACCTCCGATTTTGAAAAATTGGGCTCAATCGATGCAGTTTCATTCAAAATAAAAGAATCTGGCAGAAAAACGCGACAGTCTGCCTCGCGAACTGAAATATTAAGCATTATAAGTTGATCACTTTTTTGGTTAGAAGATCTGTCATATCGACATAATGCAGCGAACTGAGTATGCGCAATGGTCACGTTTGCATGTCGGTGACCACACACGCATGCTATGCTGTAGTCAGACGCGCATGAAATTTAAACTCAATAATACAAAAAAGGAAATCGCAACAGTTATTATTGCGAGACAAAATTATACACGCCAAACACCATGTTGGTTTTTTGCCTTACTAAATCAATACTAAAAATGTACTAGTTCTTCTTAACAAAATGTGATATGTATATATTTGTGTATAATATATTTAATAATAGATTTTTATTATGAATGTTAAAAAATGTTTGCTGAATAGATGTACACAGGGAAAACTTTTATTTTCTATCTTTTGCTGTGTGTTGAAAGTTGTAAACCGATGTGGAGTCATACGCTTTGTGTTGCAAAGCACATGTTTCATCCCCCCTCTCCCTTTCCTGCGTGGGAAAGGGAGTGGAAGGAAAATTCGTTCCTTACACACATGTACTTTGCAATGCAAAACATATGATTCCACATCGGTTTACAACTTTCAACACATAGCAAAAGATAGAAAATAAAAGTTTTCCCTACGTCTATTCAGCAAATATTTTTTAACATTTTTTTAACATTCATAAAAATCTATTATTAAATATATTATACACAAATATCACATATTATTACATATCACATATTATTAAGAAGGACTTTAAGAAGAAATAGTATATTTTTTAAGCCCGGTGTTTTTTCTTCGAAGCCTCCGTTAGGAATAAATAATCATTAACTTTATTTTTAGCGTGTATAATTTTACGCCTTGCAATAATAACTGTTGCGGTTCCTTTGTTTTATATTAAGTTTTTTAAATTTCGTCTGACTGCCCAGCATGCGCGTGATCACCGAACATGCAAACGTGACCACTGCGTGCGCATACTCAGTTCGCTGCATTATATCGGTATGACAGATTTCCTAACCAAAAAGTAATCAATTTTAATATCTCTTAATATCTCGGTTCGAGGCAGACCGCCGCATCTTTCTATCAGATTCTTTTATTTTGAATGAAACCGCGTTGATTGAGTCCAATTTTATCAAAACCGGAGGAGATAAGGCTAAATAATTATCATGTTAACAAACTGCTGCCAGAAATCTTACAGAATTTGTTGATATTCTGTGCTAGCAGATTGGCAGCAGAAATAGAGCAGACCCTGCTGCAGACTGCCGGCAGATTAACGGCAGAAAACGAACAAGACCTGCCTTGCGACACAATTTGATGGTAAGATCTGCTCGATTTCATTGCCGGTCTGCTGACACAGAATGTCAACAGGTTCTGTCAATAGAATGTAAGCAGTATGAGCCCTCAGATGAAGTCAGTCTGCTAACATTTTCTGTATTAAATTTGTTGCCTAGTTTGCTTGACATTCTGCTAACATGCTTTTAAGGCTT